TGGGGGCCGGAGGAGACGGCTGGTTGTGAGCCCAGTGGGAGATGCGGAGTTCCAGCGGAGGGTACTGAACGCCACGAAAATCTTAGGTGTGAGCAGAGAGCGCGATCCACTCTGCTGAATGACGATGCTAAAATAAAAAGCCAAAACCAAACCCCTTGCTGTGGAGTCGATTCCGACTCATAGCGACCCTATAGGACAGAGGAGAACTGCCCCATAGGGTTTCCGAGGAGCGGCTGGTGGATTTGAACTGCCAACCTTTTGGTTAGCAGCCAAGCACTTAACCACTGTGCCACTAGGGCTCCAAGAAAACTCTGAAAGTGAATATTTATTGAGCAGCTACATGTGCTTGGCGCTATCCAAAGCACTGTGCATTCAGTAGCTCATTTCACCCTGATGGGTTCGGTGCTTGTATCGTTCCTGTTGTAGGGATGAGAAATCGGAGGCACAGAGACGTGAAGTAATCTACCCAATGTCACACAGCAAGTGGTGGAGCTGGGATGTAATCTAGCTGAGATCTAAAACTACTTTATACAAAGCTGGCTAGTTATATTTTTTGTTCTTTAGTGAAAGTTTACAGCTCAGGTTAATTTCTCATTCAAAAATTTATACACATATTGTTTTGCGACATTGGCTGCAATCCCCACAATGTGACAGCACCCTCCTCCTTTCCACCCCGGGTTCCCTGTGTCCATTCGTCCAGTCGCTGTCCCTTCCTGCCTTCTTATCTTGGATATTTACTTTTTATATGTCTGTTTGCTCCTGAGGAGCCCTGATGGCGTAGTGGTTAAGAACTTGGCTGCTAACCAAAAGGTCTGCAGTTCAAATCCAGCAGCTGCTCCTTGGAAACCCTATGGGGCAGCTCTACTCTGTCCTACAGGGTGGCTATGAGTCAGAGCTGACTGAGGGCACCTAACAACGTTTGCTCCTGAGCGCTGTTGGAGTTTTCCTACTGCAGCCTATGAAGTTCTAGGTGGCTAGAGCTTAAGTTGTACCACGTGACTTGCTGCTATCTGAACTCTGAGTTGTTGAAAGCTGCTGACACACTTCTTTTAATGATTCCAAGGACAGTCAGGCTAGAGTCAAGAGGTGGCCCAGTATGTAGAACTCCACCCTCAACTGGCAGGATACAAGCAATGATCTGACGTTGTCTGTTAGGCTGGTACCCACCCGCCTCACCTTCCAACAGTTCAAAATAGTATTACAATGCAATGTTTGTTTAATGTTTTAAAAAATACTCTGGTGAGTTATGTATTTAAATATTACGTGAATGCATCCCGAGGGTGGCAGTGAAAGATGCAATTCTGGCATCAAAACAAACATGTGCATCGAATATTTAATTAAAGGATCAGATGAATACAGCAGATGCAAAGTCGCTCTGATGAAAATGTGCTCTAACCCCCAACCCGAGGTTTGAGAGAGTTGCAGGGCCCAGTGTCCTTTTTTGAAAACCAAATATGGTTAAAGATGGATTTGAGACAGAATGCGAATTTACTGCCTCTATAATTTCAAGGCTGCTTTCTTTTTTTCATAAATGGTTACTTATTAAAACTTAAAATTGATTTATTTTCAGGATTCGGGAAAGCATGTATACTCACTTTCTAATGTTAAACTAACCCAAAACCAAACCCATTGCTATCGAGTCTATTCCGACTCAGCGACCCTATAGGATAGGGTAGAACTGCCCCATAGGGTTTCCAAGGATCGGCTGACTGGATTTGAACTGCTGACCTTTTGATTAGCAGCGAGCTCTTAACCACTACGCCACTAGGGCTCCGATGTTAAACTAGTGGAGGAAAAACTGTGAAGCTTTGTGTTCCTCCCTTGCTACAAAAGGGTGCTGTTTTTATTAGCAGGGATGGCAATGAAAAATTTAATACAATGTAGTTTATAACAAAGGCATTAGGTCTTTGGCCTTTTGTCTGGATGTGTAGTTCTAGCTCCACCCATGATAACCTACAGCTTCGTTACAGTCTAATCCTAATTTATTATTTATCTATCACTATACCACATAACAAGCCCTGGTGGCGCAGTGGTTAAGAGCTACAGCGAGCTACGGCTGCTAACCACAAGGTGGGTAGTTCAAATCCACCAGCTGCTCCTTGGAAACCCTATGGGACACTTCTACTCTGTCCTATTGGGTCGCTATGAGTTGGAATTGACTCAGTGGCAGTGGGTTTGGGTTTTATACCACGTTTAAAAAATCATGGTAACTGTATTTCTAAATAATTGGGGTTAAAGTAGTTGATAACATTTCCTTTCTACCAATGGCTAATGAAGTCTTAAGAGACATTAGGAATGTGCTAATTTTATCATTGACACTGCAGACCTTATTCTGAGCAACTGTCCCCAGGAAACCAACCCACCACCTCAGGTGTCAGTCCTCTTTTGGGGGTTTCTGCCTTCCCACCCTCCTTTATAGCCTGGCTGACTTCTCACCTCTGCTCTCCACTTTCAGTGTATTTCAGAGTCTTAGGACCAGCAGGATTGTTGAGGGGTTTTTTTGTTTTCCTCTTGTGATTTTTTTTTTTTTAAACCTTTTTAGATGCTGGTGGGTGGGGTCAAGCCAGGAGACAGCAGGTCTGGCCCATCCCTGTTCTGACCCTCTGGGGCCATCTTCCTTCTGGCAATTCTCTTTCCCCATCTGTTTTCCTCTTGTTTTTGTTTAAAGGAGGAAAAAAAAAAAGAAAAAGAAAAACAATCAAAGAAAGGAAAAGAAACAAACCCAAAAAATACACCTTGCCCCTCTGGAGCAAGGCCAGTGTCGTAGAAAATTCATGTGTGAGTGTGTACATGTTTACAAACAGAACTCAAAATGATTCTGGAAGAAGCACGCTTGTGTGGGCAATAGATGGCCTGAGAGGCTCCTCTCTAAGGTATGAAGGGTCTCCTCTACTTCTCACTCATTTAGCAAAGAAGGAGCTCTGTTTGGTTTCATTTGATCAGTAACTTTTCCATTCCTCACGTGTTTGAGTAAATATTCCTTAAGCTGTGTTTCTGCTGAGGAGAGAGTTCCTGAAGGCAGCTGAGGATTTAGGGGGCCCTGGTGGCGCGGTGGTAAACAGCTTGGCTGCTACCCAGAAGGTTGGCAGTTCGAATCTACCAGCCGCTCCATGGAAACCCTATGGGGCGGTTCTCTTCCTATGGGGGTTGCTATGAGCTGGAATCGACACAATGGGCTTTTTTTTTTTTTTTTTTTTTTT